CCTTTGCATCCTGAGAATCCTTGGAATTTAGATGCAGGTTCTTTGGCAACTGTAGAGGAGACATGTCCCTGGACCACCACACTGGGCATAGCAGAGGAGGAAAGAAACAGCTGGCGGATGCAAACAAGAGCTTAAAGTGCAACATTTCTTTTGTTTTCCTGCTAAGTGAAGCTCATATTTTCATCCATTGAAGGTTAGCTGCAGAAAAAGTAAAGTATTATTGTCCTAAATGGACCCTAATTAAGAACAGAATTTGTTCCACTCCACACAGTAGGTTTAATAACTCAGATCTAAACTGACCATGTCAGTAGCACAACAGGGAGTGTGGTTCTGGGAAACCAACCTCAGTGTTGTAGCACTGCAAGTTTGAGAAGAGAAGGGGTCTTTGGTAGGAAAAATAGTAATGTAGTATATAAGAAGAATTTAGGGCTATATTTGAAAATAATGGGACAGTATATTGCAAAGACACCTTCAGGTCAGATGCCATGAGTACTTGCAGGATCAGGGCCTTTAGTTTAGAGAGATCTGATTGCCTGTATGAACCGAAATGAATTGCTATCATATAATCAATGAAATGACAGATTAGTTTGTCAGGGTCTGGAAATCGTTTGTGTATGTAAGTACCTATTCTTGGATTTAAGACATGATCTTATGAAATGTGCAGTGTTCTTAGCTCTCCCTGAAAACGGAAGAAATCAGACATTTGTATTTTTGTGCTGAGAGCTGGAGTTATCTCCTATTCTGGAGTTTGTTCTGCTGTCAAGTGTAAGATATTAATTGCTTGCACTCTTTTGCAGAATTTAGCAATTTACAGTTTGTTTTTATTTGGTTTGGAATTATTAACTGGAATGATTAATTGTTGCTGTATTGATATTGTCACTGTTTATGTGATTCCTTAAAAAGGAAATTCTCATAATACTGACCATAATTTTCATTTTTGGATTTTCCCTTACTCCTCCCATGTAGGGACAGCAATTAACCAAAACAGCTGCTTTAGCTTAACCCTTCTCCTCCTGCTGCACCTTAATATGACAATCCCTCTCTAAAACTTTTTATGAGTACTTTTTAAAAAAAATCTGAGTAGGTAGTGAATGTTTTAGGAATAAGTAGTGTTTTAAATTTTTTGCTTTTTTGGGATAAATGCAGCTTTTTATCAACAGCACACAAAAGTGTGTGCACACAACCTAGGTAAAGGAGAATCTAGATATTGGAAAACATATTAAAAATAACTGCCTATCCAACTAGAAGAAAATGTAGAAATGGCTTTTTTATGTATCAGAAAATTCAACAGCAGATGTTGCAACTTCCCTAAGAGCCCTGAGAATCTTGTCAATGAGCAGTGAAAGCTGTTTTTTATTTTGGGTTTGATGTAGCTATGGGGTTCAAACCTATGTTTGAACAGCTAAACTTCAAATCGTGCCGAGCATTATGCTTACTTCTGTAGACCTGCTCACTGGTTCTTTGTGCTTCATGGAGGTGAATCATACCATTCTGTGGAGAGTTACTGGAGAACTTTTTTGTCCTTTTGGGCTCATGAGTAGATAATTACAGGCAGGTACTGGAGGACTGTGAGCCACTGAGTACAGTAACTTGTGTTGTACTGGACAGTCTTAAGTGAGAACCCCTCTCATAGGCAATCTAAGCTAATTTTAGGCACTACCAAGCCTGTGTGACGTGGCTTTACCTGAGGAAGGGGAAGGAGAGTACAAGAAATAACCAAATTGGAGCCTGAACTGACTCTATGGAGAAGGTATAACTGACAGGTTTTGGGGTTAGAGGGTACTAAGGTGATCCAGTGTGCGACACTAAGACCAGTTGATGCTATCTAGGACTGAGCCACTGTCAAAACAAGTAATTTCCTGGGCTCCCTGTCACCTGCAGTTGCACGTTTCTACCATGTCCTTTATACGGACACTTTTGCGGCTACATGCTGAACAAAATTAATTTATTTCTCTGGCTGAAGGGAAGGAAAAATCTTGGCCCTTCCTTCCTCCCCTCCTCAAAATAGTTCGTTCTCAGTCCTGCAAACTGTTCTGTTTTTACAGCGTGAGCGCAGCACTGCTGTGTAAGTAGATCGTGAATGTCACAGTTTCTGTGTTCTGTGTTTGTAGAATTTCATTGAAGTTCAGAAAAATAATTCAGTCTCTCTGGTATAGTTTACCTTATTGCTGCTGAGTAGTGGTAAATTACTGTGTATGTTTACAAAAAATTGCTCTGAGTTTTGCAGAAGTTAGTAACCACCCTCAAGCTGTCTGTCCCAGCTGTGAACCAGAGATTTGCTTTTCAAGTCATTTAGACCATTCCTGAGTGTATCTTTGCTTCAGTGCAAAATCCAGACCCTTAGCTAAAATCGTGGAGGGAAGTGACTTTTAAGTTAAGATACTGTGGACTAAATAAAGCGGTCTGCATGCATTTTCCCATTTTCTGACACTGTCAAGAGAATGGAGTGGGTAGTTCTGGGCAACATCTGCTTATCCTGCTTCAGCAAGCTTCACCAGTATTGGTCTATCTGGTTTGTCTGACCTCTGTATATGATAGTTGTGTACCTGAGGATAGGAATAGTTGAATTTGACCAGACAGATTTCAAGTCAAATTTCCAACTTCAAGGAGACAGGTGGATTAATAAGATGGTGTCAGCTGTGGCATTTACTGGCTTGAATACAGAGCAGACCAATAACCAACAAGTCATTATTTCCAATCAGTTACTGCCTCTGGAACTGACTGACGGCTGCTGTCTGTTACTCATTGCTACTGGGTAGAAGTAATTTTGTTCAACAGATTGGAGGAGAATTCACATTGACAAGTGTTCACCCTTTCATCTGCCAGTTTTCATAGCAGGACATTTTTGTAATTTTAATCAGCAGTCTGATTAAGTAGTACCTATGTTTGGGCATTGTTCAAGTATTTATTTTTCATTTTTAGTCTAATGATATATTATCCTCTGTGGGGAAACAGTGCTTCAGAGCTGCCACTCTGGATGAAAGTGAGCAAGGGCTGGTGTACCTACTGAGACTACCTGTGTGGTGAAAAGGTTAATATTTCACTTGTGCAGTCCTGAGTGATGGATTTAGAATATCAGGTCTATAAGACCAGGTGATTAACAGATGGAAACTGCATAATAGTATACTTTGGAAATAGAAACTGCTTCAGAATTTACCAAAATATTTAGCAGTTCTGTACAGCATGATAATGACCAAAAAAACTGATTATGTAACAGTTTATAGAAAAATCCTGTCCAATAAGGTCAACAAGAAGACGAAAATCAGCGAAGTGATTTGTAAGGTGAATGTGTATGTCTGAGTGGCTAGAGTGTCCAGGAATAGATGGGGTTGTATGCTCCATGGGTTCAAGAGGAAAATAAAAACAACTCAAATGCATATGAGGGTGCTATTTAATATTCAAAGTAGTACTATAGTAGAGGATACGAGTTTAATTGCTAGTACCTATGGATTTAGCAGGTAAGACTAACTCTTCTTGACTAATCTCCTCGACAGTACCTTCACTGTATAGTTTCTTCCACAGAGCTGTACTGATGGTATTGAATCTGTCTTATGTACTGTCAAGATTGATCCAAATAAAATAGCTTTTGGAAAGTATTTCATTATGTATTGTACTATTCTTAGTGTGGCAGGTGTATTAATTAAAGAAAAGCAACAGTACTACTGTGTTGAGCCACTGTTGTTCTGAGGCAAAGTCATGTAATGTAATGGTTTAAAAATACTGCATTATAGCAGTCATTATTATGATCTTTACTTAATGTCACGTGGACTTTTATTCTTCCACTGCCTCTTTTTGGACAATTGATTTGGCTCAGTGATAGATGATATGAAATAGTAAATTTGATGTACACATCTACAGGAAAAAAGAATAATCCAATAATCTGGATATATCAAATGAAACCCCTTTTTGCTTTTTAAATATTACATCATATTCATGTAACTATACAGAGACCTTATTAATCTGGACAGTTATTTGAAAGACTGATGCTGTTCCAATGGCACTTGTGCTTTATATATATATATGTGTGTATGCATATAAAAAACATGCTGGCCTTTCTTAGCAACGTTCAGATTTCTTTCTCTTACTATAATAAAGCTTTCTTCTACAATGCTTGTTTTAAGAGTGCCATCTAGTGTCTAAAGCTTTTCAATACAAGTTGTGATTTATACGTTAATGGACAATCTTATTGAGTGATGGAGCAAAAAAACTTATTGCATAATTGTTTTATATTAAACTGGTATGGACTAGTTTAATAGGAATTTTTCAGCCAAGTATATGGAAAATTAATTTAAATTTTAGCTTTATGAGAATACACTAATTTCATCTATGTTACTGTTGTATTTAATTGCTTTAAAGTAGTTGCGTGTTTGAGGTGTTCATGTAGTGTTCTTCAAATGAACATTTTTTTTCTAATGTGTCTTCTTAACCTTCGGTTAGTATCTCACCAGGCTCTAAATTAAGTTTTAATACAGAAACCTGTATTATTTCCTATGGCCTAAATACTCTCTCTGTATATGCCTTCTAACAGTTACAGAAAGACAAGTGTGTGCATTAGGAAACTGACTGTTGTAGATATGTGCTCAGGAACTTGTTTTTTCAATAGTACATGCTTAATGTTGTGGGAGATGATTGATTTTTTTAAAAAAAACAACCTTCCTATAAAATGTTTATACACTAAAATATTTAAAAGGAAATATTTTCTTTTGGTTTGAGATGTTTTGTTTAATATCGGAAATACACTAAAATGTAAGAAAATTTTTACACAGATCGTTTCCCCATCAGTGATATTTATGTGAAGAAACAGTGTATACATGAAACCGTTCTTTTCTCTCAAGAAGGGCCTGCAGTCCACTTATTCAGGCAGGATGTCTTTAATCGTGTCTTATGTTAAAATCAGTTTTAACAGATAGTGGAAGGACCACTGTTTCAAACCCTGGTTTTTATTCTAAATTCTGTGTTCTTTTGTGAATGTTGTGTTCTGATTTCTATTTCAGGAACTTCAGCTCAGAAGGAAGATGAAAGATATTGTCGCTGAAGAACATTTATATTTGGGTTTTTCTCATCAATACAGTGATAGTATCTTTCCTCTTCATACATCTATTTCACTGTTTTTGCTATCCTACTGTGACTGCAGATTATTCAAAATTTTTTTAGTGCCAACCGGTGAAGATGTGGATGATCAGTTTGTGACAAAAAACCTCCTTGGTGATCTTGAGGTCCATTTAATCTCCAGATGTCAGCTTCCACTGGTTGTGCAGAGCTGCTGTTTACCTGCTGTTGTTGTGAAAGATGGCAAGTTCTGCCGAGCTGGGCTTTCTGTTGTCTTAAGGCATATAATACTGAAAACATACGAGACAGATCCATCTAAAAAGGATGTTTTGGAACTCTTAGGCTTTAAGAAGACCTGCTTAAAAGCCTGTGCTGAAGTGAGTGCATCTGTTTCTCTTAGATGGATTAGTAGGGTTTTTTTATAAGCATTAAATACTCCTAAGTAGACTCTTAATATTGATATAAACTATGTTTTTTTAGTAAGAAACTTAATTGACTTAGAAAATGAAATTTCTTCACTGGAGAAGTATCTGTATTTTGTCATAAAGATGAATTATTATTCTTTGTAAAGATACTACTTTTTAGCAGCACAAAAAGAACCTTAAAATTCAAAAAATAGGTCAGATCTTTGTTTCATGTCTAGCAATGTAGTTTCAATGAGTTATAAAGTACAGCTCTTGCAGTTTAAAGTAAACTAAAATGCCTAATTTATTGTTGATTTTTATTTCAAGAGCACCACATACTGTTAGCCTTCATCCCTGCCAAGGTGCGCTGCTGGCTTATGTTTAGCTTATGCTCACCAGGATATCCACAGTCGTTTCAGCAGAACTGCTGCCTGGCCACGTGGTCAGTCCCTAGCCTGTAGCATTACAGGGTTTTAGTCTGTCCGAGGTGCAGGATGCTTTACTGAGTCTCATGTCAGTTCCTGTCAGCCCGTTCTCTAGTCTGGGCTGGCCCGTGGGAGTGGCAGCTGTTGCTTGGAGTTTGCTGACTGCTCTGCTCAACTCACTGTCATGCTTGAAGCACGTGTATTCCATCTCCCCCTCCAGGTCACTGATAAAGATAATTAAATAGGAAAGCCCTCAGCATAGACCCCTAAAGAGCTCCACTTCTATCTGATCTTCAGGTAGAGTGTGAACCATTAACCACTGTGCCCTTTGAGCTGGTTTTTCAGCCCATTTATTGCATAGCATTTTGCTCATCTGGCAGCTCATCCATCTAGACTTGCCTTCCTCACTTCTCTCAGGATTTTGAACTCCAACCATGGTTGCCATTGATTACTGTCCCTCCAACCCAGTTTGTCCCTGTTGGTGAGCAGCAGATCTGGGAAAGCATATTCCTGTGTTAGTCCATCTGGCACAAGCGTAAAGACATCCTCCAGAAACTTCTGGTTCTAATCTCTTCATGGAACTGCTGATAAACTTGATTCCATATTTCAGATGGCTGCAAAGGGAGTAAACTGAATAAGAAAAGACAAGAGTTTTAAAGTTTTAAAATCTTTAAGTACAGATAATGAGAAAAAGACAACAAGGATGAAAAAAATAAGTCATTTTTTTAAAGGTGCTCTTCGATTAGGCTAAAGTTTTTTGATGTTGCGTGCTAAAAAGCCACTAATAATACAATGCATTTCTGTAAAATAAATGCGCTCGAAATCTGTTTGGTGTAATCTGGTTTTATTGCCAGCGCTTGGTAGCGATGACATATATAAATTGATCACAGCTTTGTTTCTCATGAGTTACACAGTCACCCTAATCTTATGCCAATAATAAGAAATAAAAATATGCTATACTGGATAACTGTTCATTCTGTTATATGTAAGATTTAGCTTCCTAGTTCTGCTATTGCAAAAGTAATACAGAATATCTGAGCTTCTAAGATTATCAAAGAATGTATTTAAAGCTGGAATTTCTTTGCCTAAAGTGGATAAAAAGGTACCCTAGATTTTGTTTCTCTTTCTGTAGAGACATTAATTACATAAATTTATCTGACAGGTTAGCCAGTGGACCAGACTTTGTGAGATCAGCATACCTCTGGCTGTTGAAGAGTTTTTGACGGCATCTCCTCAGCATTGTCAGACTATTCCTCCTGACATTTTACAGCTTGAAAGGAAGCTTGGAGAACCTGTCCGAGTGCATAATGATGACAAAATTCGAAGGCAAAAACTTCAACAGCAGAAGGCAGGTGCCAAGGCTGCAGTGCCTGTACTTGGTAAAGAAGAAACAGAGGAAGGAGAAACAGTGGAAATGCATGAACGTCCACTCCCAAGTTTGGAACTGAGCATAGCTTTCTCCAAGCTGCTTGTCCAGGAAGGGTCAGGTGCAGTCAACAGAGAGACCCCTCACATCAGGAGAACAAAATCCGCTGACCTTCCACTTTTGGACCATGTTTTTGCAGAAGGGCTTTATTTTACCTTGGCAGATATAGTGCTTTTGCCATGCATCCATCAGTTCTTGGTAAGACCACAAGTTCTGTAAATATTTATTAGTGTATATGTATTTTTTTTTTTTTTTAAGAACTGGAAAGTGGTAAAATGTGTTAATTTAAAATATATTGTGGCATTTGCAGTGTGAACTTAACCTGAAATAGAAAATTTGTCTTTGGTTTTGTACAAAAAAACCCCAGCGATTGGTGAGGTCACCAAAATTGCTTTTAAATACATGGCATCTCAATACTTAATAAACACTGTTAAGTGTTAAAATATTATACTGAAATATTTTGGCACCAAGTTGCCCAAGAAATTCCTCCATGAAAATACTTAAAATGGACACTTAAAGTACATTCCAATGTGCATAAAGCAAAAGTAGGCAAGTGTGAACCTATTTTCTTGCTCAGATTTAGTGTACATTTGTAAATTTGGTGTACATTTAGTGTACATTTGTGACCATGACTCACCGGATATTTACTAAAATTAGACTGTTTTACCCATGAGAAATTTTTTGAGATTTGAAATTTTGATTCCATCATAAATTGCAAATTCTAAAAGGAAGGAGGGTTGATAATGGTGTAGTAATTTTAACATGCTAGAAGGGATGTCCCCCATAAGAGATTTAAAATGGACACTTAGAGTACATAGTAATATGCATAGGAAAAAAGTAGGTAAGCATGAACCTATTATGATTTTGTTTCAGTGTACTAGAGGGCAAGGGAAAATGAATTCCTGCCCAGTTTGTTGTACTTTTACTACATGGATATTATCTGAATTGGAATTTTCAGCAAAACCTTGAAACTTTGTGTGACTTTATCTTGACATGGACAGATACGCCTAAAAGAAAACAATTACCTTCTAAGGAAGTAAGAATGCCTTTTAGGGAGGCAGTGAATGGAGAGAGATTCAGGGACTTTGGTGGCTTTTTAGAGGTGTAAATCCGTGACTTTCCTTACCCATACTAGAGCTGAAGAGATACCTGGGTATTGACTAGGGAAAGACTTCGAAAAGCTTGTTTGTTTATGCTACTGGTGTGTAATTTCTTGAGATTCTCTTGAGAAATTTTTTTTGTCTACAAATATTTCTTTTTGAAATATGGTGTGCTATGACTTCCTGATTTACTTATTTCTTCTCATGATAGGTTAATTAATCTCTGCTGTTGTTTTCTTCTAGTTCTTAGGAATGACTTTGTTTGGGAGGAAACATTCCTGTGTAGCCAACCTGGCTTTTATCAAGCCCTCCCACAAAATAAGCCCATTTTGTTGCCCATCTGTCGATGAAGATGGGTGCCTAGGACAGCATAGTACCTACATATCAGCAGACCTTCGGTTCTTCTGTGCAGTTTTGTTTTGATAAAACTTAGTCTGTATTCTTCTTCAAGCAAGGACTGATCACTGCGACACTGCTCAGAAATGAGATGTGTCTGGGGAGCCAGCTGCTTTGGAATGTGCTTCAGCCCCTGAAACTTCAGTAATCCGTAGTTTTGTCATTCATGGTATTGTTGCTACTAAACTGTTTTCCAGGGTTTGTGGAAGGTCCTTTGTTTACTGCAGCGAAAGGAGAAGTTTCTTGGAAAACGTTAGGTTGCTAGAAGCTCTTGGAGTGAAGTTTATAACAATTACAATTCTCCTTGCAGTCCTATGAGATTGGCTGCTTAATTTTTTTTTCTAATACCTTCTTGTGTTACCTGTGTGGTCCAATAACATACTGATAAAAAGTCCTCACTTTCCTTTAGGGGAGTTGAATGTTTTTTTACCAGGTTGTGTGAGTATTTTGGAAATGCGAAATGTGTGGACTATTCAAAGATGCCTTTGTCTCTTTTATCCTGTGCAGTCAGCCTAGCACATTCCCAATACTGGACAAACACCAATGGCTGTTTTCAATTGTCTTCATCCTTGTCGTTTTCCTTCACATCAAGAGATTTTCACAGCACAATGAGCGAAAACAGTGTGTGCCAGCAAAGTAATATGGACACTGTATATAGTGGCTATATGCAAAATTTAATTCAGAGCGTAGGATTATTTTGCGTCTTGTGATGTGTTTGGAGATCTCAGAAGGTCTCCCAGTCTGTATATAGAGGAATTTGAAACCTGCAAAGACTTGCACCAAGATAAAACAGGAAAAGCACTGACACAGCTGCCAGTCAGGGCACCGCATGGGCTGTGGAACACTGGGGAATGAATCTTGCTCCCTGACATACAATATCGTTATAGAAACACTGTCGCAAGTGGCAAAGCTGATCTTAGAAGCTCTTGCACTCCAGGATGCAGTTTGCCAGGCTCTTGGTTGTGTCAACTTGACTGTAATTTGAATAGGTGAAATATTCATGTGTCTGTACCTCTAGATCAATGATCTTTTAAAAGCTCATTTCACCCCTCTTGTAGGGGAGAGTCTTAGTCACTTGATTATTGAATCTGTTGTGGATATCTCATTCTGTACAAAATTTATCTGGCCTAGTTTTACAGTGGGAAAAACTTCTGTGGCAAGGCTGTGTGAGAGTCTTGCTCAGCACAATCTGTGTACTTAGTTTTAGGAGGATATATACATAGAAAAGAGTTAAGGAAATGACAACTGTCTTTGTTTCCCGTGACAATAAAATGATACAATGAGTTTGCCTGCTACCAGTATTCCTGCAGTTACTCTATGAGATTGATAGCTAAGCTGGTGTCTGTTTCCAGAAGATCTCTGAGTGAAATTGGTATTTGCATTTTGATTTTGCAAGTTTTTTTTGCCAAATTTGCCTTATGGTGTTTGAAAACAAATGGAATTCCAGGAGAAGATGCTGTCAGTCAGATTCAGGGAAACAATCTCTAAAATCAAGATAATTACTAGTGACCATTAATATGTGACAAATGTCCAATTTATAGCTTCTTTAACCAGGATCATCGTCCCCAGTGGATTTCTGTATGACGATAGCAATATGGGAGTCCCGAAGTAGGTTAATATGGCTACCTTTGAATTAAGATCATGAGTTATTTTACAGAAGTGGTTATTAATTTACCTTTGCTTTGTTTGTTTGTTTTGCAAATCATGTAACTGAGGATTAACAGCAACTTCTGCATGGATGATACTAAAAAAAGTAGTAAGACAAAATGCTTTCCTACTGTTTTAAAACCTTTAATGTATTTCAGTCCTCTTTATTTTTTCAATGCCTTTTTAAATAAGAAGAGCATAACTTTTTACAGTAATGTTTGATTTACTGGTGCTAGGCATGAAATGATTCTTGGACCAGATGCTTAATTGATTTCAGCAATCCAGTTGGAATTGTTCTGTAGATGTACCATGAGCAGCTGAGAATGCTGTACTTAGTTGTTTTTCATGTGTGGCCCTAGAGCTCTGGTGGTTTGCAGCTTGCAAACTATATATTGTGTAATACATTTGTGTTAGCTTCCATCAAGGATTGTCCTAAAACACTGGCTTTTCAGTTTCATTTTTACCTAAATTATAAGAGCTCTGGGATAATGTTGCGTTATTTCTGTTCTCTGGTGAATCGTTGTTTTCTAAGCAATTATACCTTATTGTTGAAATTGAATAACTGGCATCTGAAAGCTGCTTGCAGGCAGTGGGTTGAAACTGCTCTTGTTGATGGAAGCACCAAAGTTTAATTCTGTATTAAAGTGTTATTTATCACTTATATAACTGGACTTCCTTGACTATATTTCAGAAAAATCCTTATAGTTGCACTTCCACTTTGCTTTAAGGGTGTGAATAATAATAAAGTCTTCAACAGGTATGTGTCAGGAAAGTATCGTACAATAAATATGAGGAGACTTGACTAGCTGATTGTAATTATAATTACCAAAAGTAAGATAATGAAGCTGAAGAGTTGTTTTTCATTACCTCATTCCATTTCTGTTATCTCTCTGAGGTTAGCTTTGTTACGCTTTCTATTAGTTGTGACTGTTTAAAATTAATGGAAGACTAACAAAAGCTCCGTTCTCCATGTGGGAGAAACCACTATTCACTTTTAAAAATACAATTTCGAACACTTGTTATCAAGTGTAACAGTGCCTCTTAGAATTGCTTTCCAGAAGACTTCTTCCTTAACTGAATTAGTGTATTTCTGCCTGTGTTACCATTAGGATATTGAATTAGATACTAAAATTACCCTGTGATTACCCTAAGAACATTATAAACACAGCATGCAAGAAAGCTGCTTGAAATTTTTTGTCCTTTCAAGTGTTCTTTACCAATTTCTATTTCCACACTGAGGACAGATATGTGGAGGAGCACTGTTTTTGCACGACCTTTTCTGCCTTTTCCTGTTTTAATTTTTAATTTTCTGCTTGAAGCAGGTACAGCATCACAGAATATTTGAGGTTGGAGGGCACCTCTGGAGATCATCTTGTCTAACCCTGTTTCTCAGAGCAGGAACAGCTAGAGCTGGTTGCCCAGGGTCGTGCCCAGTCAGGTTTTGAGTGTCTTCTAAGGATGGAGACATCAAAATCTCTCCTGTAAGAGGGTGATCTTCACTGTTCTAAAACATTAGGGAGCCTGAACAAAAATTACATAAGTTCACCAAATGCATCCTTTTTAAAATTAGCTGGTCTTCATATAAAAATGTGATTTGGGTATGTTTTTTTGTGATATGTGCATCATATTCTTACTTCAGAATTTTTTTTTTACACTTTGAATTCTAATTTCTGTTGAGAGCCACTTTATCTCACCATCATACATACTTAATTCAGAAAAGAAATATACTAGTTACTATTTTTGTATAAAAATACAAAGTCAAGATGGTAAAAAACTTTGAGTAAATATATGATTTAAAAAAAAAAAAGTTTTGGATTCAGTGCTAGTGGAGAAAAGTCATAGATGTGGTGCATAGACTTCAATAAAGACCAGGGTCGGTGTATGCCTCTGCTTGTTTTGCTGTTACCTTGTAATCAAAGGTATTTCAGGCTTGTAGTTGCTGGCAAACCAGCTGTCAGTAGATGAGCTTAAGGGCTGCATGGTGCCTGCGGGAAAGAAGATCACTCAGGTACCATAATGTCTTGCTTATAGTTCAGTATTTATTTCAAATTACTGGGTTGGGTTTTTTGTGATTACCAACCAAAATAAATCATTCCCTTGTTAGGAAATAGCAGATAATTAAGAATATTATTTAAATTGTGTTTTCCTGTTGCTGACTGAAATCATGATTAAAATTGGTCACATAAACCAATTAAGCAAATAGGAATTGCAGATAAAGTCTAAATGGCCACTGGCAGTTCCACCTGCAGGTCTGAGCTCTTAACTAGCTAGCTTTTTGTATTACCATCCTGCTATGAGTGCGCATGCTCGGCATAGAGTTGAGCTCATTTCTGTAGTTCATGCTTTTTTATGGCTTGTAGTAAGAAATTTACAGTAGCACGTAACCTTTTAATTTTATTTTTCTAGGTTTCCAGCAAAAAACAAGGCAAAAATCTGGTAAATTTGCCTCTGATATCCAGTTGGTATCGAAGAGTTCAAGAAGTACCTGGAGTAAAGAAAGCTGCTGGCAAATGCAATATGGAGCTTCTCCAGCTTCCAGAGTTGATGTCTGCTCCAGAGGAACAGCTACAAGACTTCTCTTCAGTTCCTGATGAATTAGAAGAGAATGACAACTGTCATTTTATAGGTGGTCCAAGGCCAACTATGACTAAGTTAAAGGTAATTTAAGCTTTTTAATGAGTTATTTTTAATAGTAATATTCTACTTGATTTAGAATAGGTGAAATATGTTAGAATTGTGGAAGCTGACAGCCTGGAACAGTTTGATACCTTTTGCCCATCTTCTGTCTGATATGCATTGACTTAGAAGTAATTTTACTTTTTCACTCTGTTATGATATTTGACCCATTCAGGAGTTGAGCAAAGATAGGACTGCTGGAAGCCCTTTCAATAATTCTGAATGATCAAAGCAACTTTTTGTTTGAATTGTATTCCTGTTTTAAAATATTTATATAAAGGATGACCAAAAAAAAGTGACTTTTTATGTTTGGCTTCATTATTCTCATGTTTCTGTTGTTTTTTTTTTGCTGTTTGATTAGAGCTTTGAACATCTGGGAACCCTAATGAGTTTTGTTAAAGAAAACTCTCCATCATGTTCCATAACTCTCAATATTCTTTGCGTAGAGGCTGACAGCATTTGCTAAAGAAAATTAACAGGGCTTTCTTGTGAAAATGAAATACATAATTTGAATCCCGTATAATGTAGAGTCAGCAACCTTTTTAATTTCAGTTAGGCTGAAAGAGTTGCATAGTTTGATCTCATGCCATTAAATTCAGTGGGAATTTTGCTACCAATTTCAGTGGGTAAAGGATCAGGGTCTTATTGTTTTTTTTCCCTCCTTTCACGTAGGAAAATGGTATTGAAGCAAAGTTTTCTCCTCATCCGGACCCTGACTGGACCCTAGACTGGACCAATCTACCATCTGCAGTCAGTCCTGGGGAAGGTAAGGGGTTTTAGGTATGTGCATATGTATTTAACACTGCCGCCTTCTAGTGAAGCCACTTAACTGTTTCGCAGGAAAATATGTCACTTTTCAGTGTATTTCAGAGCTCCGTAAAACAGGTAAGCAGTTTTAAATCTCTTCTAAAATTTGGTCTGTTTGGAACGCATAATGAGATGACTTCCCTCAGGTGATCAGCAGCTAATGACCAAACTGGGAATAAAAACTTGACCTTGCTTCCTGAACTATATTTTTTCCCAGTTTCCTACTTTCCTGAACTTTTCTTCATATCTAGAACAGTAAATTCTGACTATATGACATTAATATAATCTGCATGAATGCTGTATGTGGACTGTGTCTCCCAAAGCAGCAGCAGCTGTGATTTTATTCTGATGAAAATAATATTCATTAGCAATGTTTGTTAGCTACATGTGAGTGAGTCTTCCCTTTTGTGGCAGTGTTCCCTGCCCTGTAGGGGTGGTTTGCTTTGCTAGATTACAGGGCAGTCTGTTGCATAGTAGCTATAGTTCTACAGAGAAAAAAAAAAAGATTTATCATAATGTTTGTTTTCACTGGTGTTGTGAATATTGAATACCTCTTCCACCACACAGTAGAGTTTCCTCTGAAGGGTCTTGTACATACTACCAGACAGTAAGAAGTTAGTGGATGGTATCTCCTTTCTACAGGAAAGAAAAAGGTTTGTGTTCTTTCATGTAAATAAGAAAACGTAGCTGCTGGAGTCAGTCTAGCCTCAGTGGCATAGAACTTCTGATTTAAAGAATACAGAAGTATATGTGCAACGTATAGATGCTCTTCAATGACCAATATGTGAAATTCCTCACAGAATATGTTAGGAATCACTGAAGAGCTATAGGCACTTACAAAAAATACTCTTTGTTTTGTTTTAAATATTTAACTGTGTAAATACAAGCATGTATTCCTACCTACAATATACAGGCTATAAAAATAAGATCAAATTTGGAGTTGCTTTCTTTCGATTTGGATCTGTGTGTAGTTCACAAAGCCATGAAAAAACCCTCATGTGTACCATGAGTAGATTTATAGTTTTATATAAAGTGTCCATCGTTCTTACATGAACTGTTTGCCTCTGGTTTTGTCCTGAGAGAACTCTTTACTGGGAAGTCGTATGCCCTGCTTTACTTACTGGTCCTTTCTTTCCTTTCGCGTGGAAATAAAAACCAAAACGACACAAAACTTTGGTTTGCATCTGTCAACATCACATCATGCTTCTTCAGACTTTATGTGGATCTTTTGAATATACTTCTTATGATAAAATGGCTTTGTAGTCTGACTGATGAAATGCTTAGGGAGAATTATATTAATTGAATTTCTGTGACAAGTTCCAGTATTTTGTCAGAAGTGAATAAACATTTTTGTGTATTTCCAATGCTCAGGGTTTTGGCTGTAAGTCTTAGTTCATACATTTGTCAAGATACCTCTTTTCCTCTATTTGAAAGAAGATTTTCAAAAAGATGCATAACACACAAAACAACGTATTGCATCTATGTTTGGAAATTTTGTGCTGGAAAGAGTCTTTTGGGCTTGGTTTGACTCGGGGAAAATATCAACCCTTGCTGCTTCCTACCTATGTGAGTGCTTGGTCTCTCTTTTTTCACATTTGCTGAAATAGTTACTGATGATGTCCATATCTGAAATGATTTTCAGTTCAATTTTTATGAAGATTTGATAGCTCAACAAGGTGCTAAGAGAAAGAGATTTCACCTCCCTCCACCCAAGGTTGCAGTGATACTGAGGCCATTTTCTGATTTAGGGAAACTCCAAATGGTTGTGCTTTTAGTCCAGGAGCAACAGAGTCACATAGGACAATAAGGAATTTTCTGATATGAGAATTGATTTTGCTTTACAGTTGGATATATCTGCATGTTTACCTCTGCTGTTCTATGTGTTACTGTTTTCTGTTTCCTGATTCTTTTGCTAGTACAGCCTAATAATTGTTATATGAATTTAATTCTCATTATTTTATGACTAAATCCAACCTGGCGTGCTAAAGAAAATAGTCACTGAATCTGTCAGGGTTTTTAAACTGGATTTGAGTAATGCAATTCAAGCTTTTAAGCAGATTACCCCTATAACTGGTAAATAAATTTCCTCTTACTAATGTTCGCAGCAGTTGAGACAAAGTAGAGGATGTTTTAGTTAAAACTTACTTTGTTTTTTATCCACAGTAAATTTAATTTGCTGGCAAATGTTAGTTTAATAGCACACATGATACACTTTCTTTGCTCTGTCTCATCTTAGATAACTCAGAATTTGTGTTATATGTATGTGGAAGTTCTGGGATTGTTCAGTCTGTCTGTAAGTCTAATTAGACCACCTTGCTGTCACGGCTATTTACTACAGAAAAGAATTAGTGATGATTGCAGTTCTAATGTATTGTTTAGGTTATACATTTAAGTTCTTTCAGTTTTTTTACGGGTATTATTTACTGTTGTGAAACTAAAGAGCATGATGTCATGATTTGCATTTCATTTGCTTAGTCAGATTTCTGAAGCAGAATGAGATAGAATAGAACAGGCTATTTCAGTTGGAAGGGACCTACAACAATCATCCAGTCCAATTGCCTGACCAATTCAGGGCTGACCAAAAGTTAAAGCATATTATTAAGGGCAATGTCCAAGTGCCTCATAAACACTGACGGGCTTGGGGCATTGACGACCTCTCTAGAAAGCCTGTTCCAGTGTCTGACCAACCTCTGGTGAAGAAATGCTTCTTAATGTCCAGTCTAAGCTTCCCCAGGGGGCAGCTTTGAACGATTCCCATTTAAAAACCTATGTTAGTTCTAGTCCTGATGCCATTTTTAAAAGGTATTTAATTGAGCAAAATGGAGTCATGTTTACTTTTTAGATATCCTTCAGCTTTTTAAATTTCTTTCATTATGTCAATTACTTCTAAAATATTTGGCTTCTAAAGTTGTGTGTATCAGCCTTGAGACATGTGTGAATCTGTAAGCCTTTGTGAGCATCTGGACTGTTTTTGAAACAATAAAAAATATTCCAAAATACGGTATCTTAGTGCCCTCCGTAACTGTTGATATTCTAGGATATTGAAGTTGTTGAGTTATTGTTTCAAACTTTCACTTTTGGAAGGAATTTAACACAAAATATTTATTTTAAAATGTATTGTAAATGCTGGTTTCTGTTCTAGCTTACTGTATAAAAACTTGGCCAGTACTTTAACTGTATTTTTTCTAAGCTTGTTTTCCAAATCTATGTTTAGATCAGAATTATGTTGATCTTGTCTATTAAATACAGAAGTCAAAACCCCTCAGCGCTCAGCTGTTTCTTCCAAATCATAGAGTGTAGAAAGACTTAACCCCCAAGCACACAAACCAAGTCTGTCTGGCTAAATGCATCTCTTGATATTGAAAAATTAAATTGTGCAAAATCTCAAAAGCAAATGTAGTATTTCTAAGTTATATCAGAGGTGAATACTGGAAACTTATACACCATGAAAATGTTTAATGAAATACTTCTTTGCAGTAAATACTTCAGTTGGCAGTAGACACAACCCAGAGGTCCTAACCAAGCTCAGTGCTTGGTTGCGTTCAACTTTCCGTAGAAGTAGGGGTAGATACAGTTGTAAATAGACACGGACAGTAAAAGAAGAGGGTGGCAGGTGAGAATATGAAAGCATAGGTACTCACAGTGTGAGACTGAAGGTAAAATGAGATACTTGCATCAGCAGTACAGGGAAATAATCACGTGATTTATGTCAGCCTAGAAAATGTTTTCATTTCTTCCCCTGACAAGATGGTGGCTGAAATTTTGGGAAGAGGGACTTGTTGAAGTAAGAATGCTGAATGGAAATCGTATGCTGGTGATGATGAAGTGTGAGGTCTGGGGAAGAGGAGGTTTAATTAGATTTGTGACCAACAAAGAAATGGGGCATCTTTTCTGTGGTTTCACAGTTCATGTTAGGCAGCAATAGAAAGGACTTATTATCCTTTTTGGAACTTCAGTCAACCCTGGGGTCTTTGCTTGTGTTCCTAGTCTTGTGTGTGTGTGAAACCGTTCCTTCTCTTCAGGTTAATTTCCTATTAGCTGCAAAGGCTTTGTGGATATCAAGATCAGTTTAACTGGTTAGGAATAGAGGTGCTTTCTGTAGACTCACCCAAAGCACATTAAGGGGGGGGAGGGGGAGTGTGTGTATGTGGGGACAGAGAGTGATGCTTGTTGCTGCTTTATTATTCTGATGATATATGGGGAGGTAAGTCTTTGGTACTGTCATTTTTTCATCAAGCATTGTGTTCGCTGGGAAACAAAAAAGGGGAGAAAAGTTATATTTTTTTGTAACAGGAATATTTTTTTTTCTTTAAAACAGCTTTTTATTTATTTATGTTTTTTACCCAACTGTGAAATGCAAGAATGTGAAATAACTGACCTGCAGTGTCACAAACCTTACTTCTTTCCTCAGGAGTAGAAATACTTGTGAAGCAGGAGTTACTTAAAAGAAGAACAGTGCTTTATTTGTGGTGTCTTATTCTGAAATTACCAGCTAGACTGACAGAGTGTGCATATTACTTATAAAAGTAGCGATTAGCTGTGAACAAATTTATACTGTTCTTTTCAAAGAGTGAAACTGCTCACAGAATAAACGTAGCAAGTAGTAAACTACGTTCTGTAGGCTTGTAATGCCTTTTACCTCATAAATACATTTTTTCTTAAATGAAGAAATTGTAATAGATCAGAAGTGAGCTCCTTAGCTGAAATACTACTTACTGTCAGGTGAATGTGGAAAGACCATAATATAATAAAAACTAGGAGTTGCATGCACAGTAGGAGAAGGAGGGTTCAATTATAGAATCTCTGAAGAGTTTGAGGTGGAAGAAGTTAGTTTAAAAATGTAGGCAGATAAATAAAGCTAGATCAAAATAAATGAGTGCATTTTACAAGTGCGGCTTGCTCTTACCAATTAACAGAAGCCATGTAGCCCTATAACTTTGTATTTGGCCCTATTCATTG